TAGTCTGGCCATGACCCACAGATAGAACTCAGTCGTAGGGGCAGAATATACTGTTGTTTTTTAAACTGCACCAAGACCAATCAGAGCCACAAACAACGTGACATATTCATTGCTGCACAAATCAGTCAACAGGGGAGTCTTCCTTACACCATCAAAGTAAAAGAAGAAGCAAATGCATCCATATTCAAATAAAGTACCTCTATCTGCTCGAGTCTGATAGTAAGGTTCAAATCTAAATCATCAAAAGTTGATGCCAAAGCCGTTTCAAGCAAGCACCATTCCTGAGCCGACACCATCTTTGTAATTTAACCAAAATTTCTTCAGTCCAACAATGTCTCACTGGAGGCTAGTGTCATGATCCTGCCATGCCCTGACCTCCATGCACCATTATTCATCTCATCAGCCTTCATGCCTCACACCTGGTCCTCTCATCAAGTCCCAGCCAAACCCTGTTTCCACAGCAACCCCAGCCTGCATCTCATCAGCTTCATCCACTTCACCTGCTCCTGACTCCTCAGCTCATCACACACAACTGCTTCCCCTGCTACTTAAGAACCAGCCATACAACCATTCAGTGCCAGATTATTGAACGCTCACGCCAGTAAATCTTCCAGCCGTTTTCATCCTGCCTGATCATAGCCTCCTGACCTTGTTTCCACAGCTGACCCTTGCCAAGAACTCTGCTTGCCTCCATGACCCTCGCCTGTTCACCGACTGTCTCCAGCCTCGCCCTTTACGGGTAACGCCACGTCTTAGCTCTTGGCTAATAAAGACTTTTAAAGCGCCTTACTGTGTCTTGGTGTCGTCAAGAGTCCTTAATGGGCCACTCCCATCTGTACCGGGTCGGCCCGGGCCGGGTAGCGTAGGTTGTTTACATATCTGGGTGACCTGGTAGTTTTCCGGGCCAACCAAGGCTCATTCTCAGCCCTCTTCTCGAGGGGGTCTGCTTCAGGCCGACCAGGGCCAACACACCCACTGCTGACAGCAAATTCACACCTTCCATTAGAGCAAGCCTCTGATTGGTGGGTAGAATCAGCCCACATGGGCTTAAGGCAAGGATGTGTGGAATCAACCGGGCCAGGCTGGGGCAGACTGGGGCTACCCGGCCCGGGACGACCCGGTACAGATGGGAATGGCCCATTAGTTCCACCCGTTACAGATAGCACAGCAAATCCCTGTCTTTATTAGAAGACAGAAAATGTGCTTAACCATTTGGAACCAACTTTTATTTTCCTGGCCTCTTTTTTCTACAGCAGCATATTGGTTGACTAGCCAATAAGCTAGCAGCTAGCAAGCTAGCAAAAACTAAAGTTAACTCACTTGTTAAAAAAAGAAAAGAATGAGGATTCAATCACTCCAATTGTGTACTGAAAATGGTAACCACTAGCATTGCAGCTAACAGCTATAAAGCAGGTAGAGAGTTCCCCCTTTAGAGCACCTACCCACTCCACAAAACTGTCAAATGCGTTTTTTGATCAGCAAAGGCCTCTAGAGTGGTGGCAAATAGGAAACTGGTCAAATAGATCAATTTAAATCTCTAGCTTAAAAAAAGTCTAGTGTTACTTTAATTACATTTTCTCAGCTAAAATCTACAAAACTACGTCCATCACTTCAGATTCAATGGTGATTTCCAACAGATCTAAGCCATAGTTTATTTTGGAACACCAAAATTATGATTATACTATTGCTTTCAAGCTGTGTAAAAAAGGCAAAACACCTGTCTCCCTATCCTCAGTTTGCATTACCGTATCATGAGCAGGATGTAACAAGCAAGAGGGCATTTTGAACACAACCTTGGCGCACCTCTGTGTCTGAAAGTCTACATATACCTAATAAAGCTAGAAATGTCCGTCTACAGACCTGCTCTAAAAATAAATGCAACCCCAAAACAAAATCTATTTAAGTTTCCTGCACTAACAAAATTCTGCTAGTTAAATGACCTGACATCGTGTTTTGAGTAATGGCACAGGTTAGTCAGCTGTACTTGATTACTTTTGAATTAATTAATGTACGAAAGTATTTGTGTTTGTATAAAAAGGGCATTTTTGCTCCCCTTTTGCCTCACATCATGCGTCTACTATGTCTCGGCTCCTTGAAATGATTGATTTTGTACATTAATCAAATAAAAATCAGCGTGTAAATTCCACAGCACGGTGGATCAAGACTCCTTTTTGGTCCCAAGCTTTGGCACAGACACATGGATGTACATGCGCACAGTTGGATGAGTCATAATATGGCGTTACATTTAATTATCATACATTTACAAAACCCAGAATTACCATCTCCAGCCAACATATTTAGCAGTTATGCTAGGAACTAAACATCTATATTTATCTGCCTCCTTCTCCTCCCACTACTTCTCCTTTGTGCTTTCATCCACTCGTGTTTATCGTATCCCGACACTGTACTTCTCTTTTCTTTCATCTCTCACACAGGAAGAAATAAAGACAAAAAAAAACCATTTACGAGGGGCTGATTTTGAGAAAGCTGAGGAGTCGGGGCGTGAGGGATGGGTAGACGAACAGACAAATGTATGTGTTCTCATTTTCTGACTGAATGCTGAGGAAAGGAGCAGTGGCAGGGTAATCATGAGAAAGCACTGCAGGCTTCCACACACAGCTGACAGACACCTCTGAAATATGATGCATCTGACCAGAGGGGGTGTGTGCATGTGTGTGAGGAGTTGCGTGTCTCTCCTTTTTCTGTTGTCTCTGAAGTTTGAATAGTAAACATGTGTTTACCTGATTGTGTATTTATTATGTGTTCCACCTAACAGATGTCAAGGTGTGGTGGGCAGCAGTCATATCTGGCAGAAACACAAACTATGAGCTCATTTGGGACTAGAAGCAGATGGGTATTTTTTATTTTATTTTAATTTATTTATTTTTTCAAATAGTAGCATGACACGAGACCCATTAAACTGAAGAAAAGTGTCATCATTCATCTGGCTTGCCTAAAATAAGCTTTTTGACATCTGGATGTTAATAATGATGTATTTATATCTACTTTCTGCACGGATAGACAGATTTCTATGTGTTCAGCATAAGAAGAAAAAAATCTAATTTATGCCCATACCAAACAGCTTTTGATAGTTCTGTGTCAATTATCAGATGGGATGATTTAAGTTTGAAGAAAAAAGACATTTGGCAATGTAAGATTTTATGTATTTAACAAGCAGGTAGCAACACTACCTAGCTTCTCCTCCTCATACCGCTCAAGAGGCAGAGCTGCCTGTGCTCTTTATAACAGATCTAATCCCTTTGACACCACAAGTATTCTGTTTTCCTATTTCTAAGACCTCTACCTGCTCCCTAGGCTTCTAAAACCTGCTGTATCAGAACATATCCGGTGTTTGCCTTTAGATCGATTATCCAAGAAGCCCTAGTTTTAATTATTGCCAATCAGTTATATATTAAATTATTATATATCCTATAATGTTATAAGCCAATAAACGGTTCAATTAAAGTAACATTAAAACGTTTTTTTAACTTTAATCTAGAGCTTAAACATTGATCTCAGTGATTGTTGGGTTAAAAACTTGACACGTTTCATATTTGACACCTCTCTGCAGTCCTCTGCTAACCAGAGCCTGCACTCGATAGTTTTGTGGAGCGGGTGGGTGTTCTAGGGGGCGCTCTTTACAGTTGTTAGCTGTAATGCTAGCAGTTAGCATTTTCAGTATGCCGGTTGTCAATAAAAAGCACAAGAAGAATGTAAAGAGAGCCTTGAAGTAAAAGTAAGAGAGTAATGTCTTTGGAGGTGAAGCAAAAAGCTATAACCAGAGTCAATGTTTACAAGGAGGTTACAAAATCATGAACTGATGGTGACCTGGCTTTGCTGCTACTGGACTTCTACATAGTTTTGTCCAACAGTGTGGCTCTTTTTACTCTGGGGTTAATTTCAGTTTCAGTTGGCTCATGTTAGAGTTAGCTTGCTGTCAGCACTGCTGCAGGGATGTTTATCACAGTTGTAATTCCACTTTCAACCAGTAGGGTGAAGAGCAGGAAACATCTCAGCGTTACTTTACATAAGCATCTTCTCTAACTAATAAATAATGCATCATAAACCAAATAGGAGTGTTCTGTTTTGTACTTTTTGTATCGGTTTTCGTACTTTTTCCTGCTCTATTATTTATATATATATTTTTTGCCATTTCAGACTTTGAGTCCACACAGTGTGCAGTTTCAGGCCAGTATGCCTCAGAGGCCCTCCAAACTTTGTTTACGATTAACAAAACCACTGGTGCCTGACAGCCTGCTCCTTGACGCCATTGATTGCTGATGCATTTCTTTTGCTAAACTTGAAAAATATATGTTGCTGAGTATGTAATAACATTTTTATGTTGGGTTTGGAAAGGAAAATATTGATGATGAATTATGAAAACCTCTGAGCGTGTTCGCAGTCTCTAGTCTGAATTCCCTCTCCAGTCAACAACATAGAAACTCCACATACTGTATGATAGATGTCTGTTACTTTCAAGGTGAGGATTTGAACCTTAGGGAGAATGGCTGTCTTTGCGCATAAACTGCTTTGTGTGCTTTTGTGTGTATTTGTACGGGTCGGTGTTTGTGAGCAATGTGCAGCCTGGCTTGTCTTCTTTATCGTCACTGGCTTGCTTCTTTTGACAAGGGAAGGAAATGAAACAAAGGAAACGTAATCAATGAGGCTGAGAGGACTGACTAGAATACAATGCACGCCCTTGTGCACCCCCCCCCCCCCCCCCCACACACACACACACACACACACACAGTGTGTAATCACATCTCTGGAGTGAAAGATGTATGTGTGCCACTTATAAGGGTAATTTATGCAGAGGCTTAATTGAAATTGTTATCAAAATCAATTTGGCAGTCTTTAATAGGATGAGCGTAAAGGAGGCAGCGAGAGTCGGTTCCCTAGATTATGCACGTCTTAGAAAGGAAGGGAACGTTTCAACGAATTGAGATTTTTGTGTTCGCATGTGAGCAGAGTTAAGTGAAAATGCATGTTTGTTCTCTTACAGTAGGAGCATCCATAAACTTCTATGCGCAGACCAATGCGCCCCTCCTCACTCCAGGCCAGCGGGATGAGCCTCAGGAAGCGAGCCACGACTCCCTGCTGCAGATCATGGCGAACTGCACTTTCCGAGTTGGAGTTTCCAGAGAATGCCTGTGAAGACAAACAGCCGTGCATCACTAAGACAATATAGCCGCACAAAAACCAGAACCAGCTTTAGGGCAAAGACCTAGAGAATCTGCTCCTGTCACTGCCGGTAAGACACACACACACTCATGAAAAATACTGATTAATTAGAATGAATCTGAAGCTAATAGACCAGTTGCAGCCTAACAGCAGAAGACATTAGGAGCAAATCACATCAACAGTTTGTGTAAGTAACTCCCTGTTCCTATTAAATTATATTTAGGCTGATTTCTGAGTCCCAAGGGAATGATCTGGTCATATTAGCAGCAAAGAGCCAGAAACCCCAGTCTCCAAACAATAACACATTACTAGACAAAACGGGGTTAGAAATACAACAAATCAAAGCAGTTGGGAGCTTTATGGGAGAAATCTTAAAACAGAAAAAGCAATTAACTTGTATTAGGCTACAATGGAGTACAATAAATTTTTTTTTAATATTTGTAATTTTTTAAATGATTCAATAAAGCTGTCAATAATTACTTGATTTTTCTCCATTTAGCCCCAAAAGCTAAAGTCTAATTCCATGAACCCACATTTTAAAAAGTCAGGCTTTACCAAAGAAATCCATAAATTGGTAATTTTACTGATTTACCAGTTCATAGCTAATTTCTACCAAGTCTAAGATGAGAACAGCTTAGAAAATCTGTTCTTTTGTTATTATCTGGAATTATCTTGTTATCTCAACATATCTACGCTTATATTTCAATGTTAATTGCTCAACTAATGTATTTATTTTGATGAAGAAAGTTTGTCTTCTTATGAAAACTATGGAACACTTCAGGATAAAAATTCAACGTAATGATTGAATCTTCAAAAAATGCAGCCTGGGCATTGTGATCAATTGATTTAAGCTGAAAATACCACTTTGAGGAATAGCCATCATTGGTTATTGGTATTATTGTTTTAGACCATCTCTAAGTTTCATAGTGATGACAGTAGAGGTGTTCTTGCAAGAATCTGGCAATATAATACATATCACAATGCATGGTAGACAATACGGCATATCACAATACTAAAAGCCAGATGCTATATTTGCAGTTTTAAAGGCTGGTTTAATTGGAAAACTCAGACGCTTCCAGTGTTATCTCAATGTCTCGTCTCTCCAGAATAAAGGAGGTGAATACTGCTGCCACCTAGCACTCAGAGTTTGAAGTGCGCCATACAAAAGAAATACAGGACATCTTCGCATGTAAACCATCAACTAAAAAAAACATTGATATTTACCGTTTTCGATTCAGTATCATAAACCAAAATATCTTGATATTTCAATATATCGATATTTTCACCCCAAATGACAATAAATAATAAAACCAGGTATGATATGAGAAATACTTAAAGTAGTGGTAACAGCCTCCTCAGAGTCTTACTCCACCCACATTTCATATTTGAAAAATGCGGCCCAAAGAGGCGTTTCCTGTAAGACCGAGAAGGCGGAGCTACGGCCGTGATTGACATACTGAAATTTGAATACAGATGGCGACGGAGAGCGACACTAGCTCAGAGCAGTCATTCGAGGTGGAGGACTTTTCCCCACCTTCTTCCCCAGAGGATAGGGAGGAGGGCTTATTGGGGGAAGCAAGCGGTCCTGAACCGTATCTTTTTGAGCCACTAGCTCGTGAGTTGTCAGAGGCCCCTGGAGTCGAGCCAGCAGGAGTATCAAGGCATCGAATGGGTCCAGTCTCTGAGTGGTAAGTAGCTTTTAGCCACAGCTAGCTATATTTAGCTTAGCTAAAAGTAATATTGTATGACTGCCTCGACAGGTGCACCTGCGGCCACTGCACATCATTGTCTGCCAGAGAAAATGTGTGCTGCAGAGAAACGCCCAAGGTATAAAAATAAAAGTACCCCACCATGAGAAAAGCATTCTGTAATGTACACATTTGTTACACAATCACTAACATCATACTAATATTGAACTCTTATAGACCTGATATCAGTTGTTCTTTGTCATAGGTAATGCTCAGGTGTCAGCAGGTGGGTGTAACCTCCTGCATAACAGAGCATCCTGGTTTTGAGGCTGTTGCTCTGAATCCCTACGTGTTGCAGGCAGTTTATGGCACCTTTCTGCAACTCTATGGGGAGATGCAGGAGACTACGCTCAACAGGTAAGACAACTGTCAAAATAATTTTTTTATGAATACTTTATAACTCATACCACCTCTTTCTCAGCTGTTACAGACATCTGGCGTACCGGAATGTGGTCAGGTGGTGTTGGGGTTACCTGGGACAGCACGTTCGTGTTGTGATCCCGTCATGCGCTGTCTCCAGAATAAGGCAGGAGTTCCCAGAAGACGGTGCATACAAAGGATTCCTCCCTCCTCTGAACTAATATATATTTTTTTGATTAAATAAATGTTATAATATATATTTCCTGTATTGATTCCTGTCCATAAAAAGCTGCATAAATCACAAAACGGTAAATGCACTTCTTTACACTTTGACATTATTTATATATACACACATATAGCCACATACTTTCAAATGAGCTCTTACAACAGTAAGGTTCTAATTCGGGGTTAATTAATGCTGCTGTAACAAGTGAGTTTACACCCTGTGTGATTAATGAAGTCTATTCTAGAGCAGGTTCAATTAGGTAAAAATGAATGATAATAAATGTGATATATGTATTTATACACATCAAAATATCAATATAATTGTATTTAAAAAGACACAATTGCGCTTTAAAGATAACATTTATTATAGCTACTACTAAGACAATGTTAGATAACAATCTGATCATAACTTTCAAGATTTTTGACAAAACTCTAAACCACAAGCAGAGATTCTGGAGCCATGTGAGGAGAGGTTGGGCCAACAGTGATGTTTCATAGGTTCCTTAGACTGGAGGTAGCTTTCACTGTGATGACAAACGTGGAGATGGAAACCCTGGGAGCACAGGTTTTTCTGTTACAAGATCAGGAGGCTCTAAGGAAAAAGTAATATTAGTATGACTAGTATGACTTACAAAAGCAAGACTGGTGAGTTTTGCTATGTTACATACGGCCAAGATTTTCAAGTTGTATGGGAGCCACAGAGCAGAAAGGTTGTAGAGATCAATAGACATCTGGGAGGTGGACAGCATGAGTCACGAGTGGATGAGCATAAAGATCCATAATGACGACAGGTAACTCCTCTGTCGTACAGTGGTGTGCAGCCTGGCTGAGGAGGAGAAAAGGAGAAACCACACAGAGTAGAGTACTAACTAATAATTACAATCTCCTGTGTAGCTCACCTGACGTGCACTTTAAAACCTGGACCTGTGCCTGCTCACAGCATCCCGTTTATCTGGTCTTTGGAACTGGGCACAGAGCGGTTCTGGAACCGTAATTTTGTCCGAGTACTCCTGATATGGGAGAGGATCCACCACCACAGAGTCGAACAGCAGGTCCATAAGCTTGTGCACATATACTGGAAAAGGGTTTTCAGTATTACAATAGCTCTCCATGACCATCATTTTGGTTTTATCATACAATATATGACATACATGAGGTTGGATTGGTCTTCAGGGCTCTCACTGTGTAGTCTCCACGTTTGTACTTTGGGTACACTACAGCATATCTCAGCTCACCAGTTGCTGTTGCTGCATGTGAGCGTGCTGCATTTTCATTATAGTGCATTGCAGCAATTTGTAATCTGAAATAATCAAATAAACAAACCATGTAGATTTGAGGCAAAATTCTACATTTCATGCTAAAATTTGAACAATTAGAGGCATTAATTTGAACATTTGTTGTATTCATTACCTAGACAGCATTCCTTTGAAGGAGAAGACTTGACTTTTTGGAGTAAATCTGATGATGAGACTGTGGAAAGCCTCCAAGGTGGATGTGTGGTACTGAGGGCTTATCTTCTCTACGTCCTTCACAAACCGTGGAGCTAACAGAATGGCAGTGAGCTTCTCACATGATGCTGTGCCTACATAGAAAATGTTAATTACAAAAATTACAATTTGATCAACTTTAGAATGTTGCTATTATTTCCATTGAGAAAAAGTTACCCATAGCTTACATTTTTAGATGACAAATGTATGAAAGAGTGACTAATAGTGCTGTAGACAGGTGTGGTCATTACTTACGGCATTTTAGTACATATTATGTCAATTATGGCTGTTCTGCCTAAAACCATGAGTTGTGTGGCGCACTCGTGTGTTTAAATTTCTGCACAGCATTTTATTCTTAGTAATTAATTGCTGTTGGCCAAATGGTGGTGTGTGACCTTAGCAGCTACATGTGATGTCTGTTACTCACATGCTCAAAAAATATTTCTCCATGTTGAAGGAGGTGAAGACAAATATTCTGTTGTGGGGTGACGTGTTTTAAATGTAAATAAACCAAACAGTAAAGGCTCAGCTGTAATGAGTACATGCTACACTTACTTGGTTTGAGCCACTGTCTTGCCTGTTCTCCATCCAGAGGTGCATGCAGACAGCTAGGGAACAGGGCGTTGTCATGGCTGTGCACATTTTGGATGTGGTTGGCAACTGAAGTCCACTTTGCAACTGCCTCCTGTCCTGAGGAGGAACTGGATGCTGACCAGTAGAGGTGGTTCACCACACTTTGCTTCCACAGTCTCACATCCTGGGTCGTCTTTCTCTTCCCCAGCTCTTCGATTTTCTTACCAATTCCTGGAGAGCCAAATAGACCCACATTTAAAATAGAAAAAAAAATCCTGTAATATTCACTATATACATCCACAAAGATTACCTTTTCCCATGTGCCAGGGGTCAAAGTAGTGACTGATTTCCTTTTTTTCCTCCCTCAAATACTTCTGCACTCCTGTGTGGCGGTCAGTCACGACTTGCTGCACATCGACCCCCCTCTCCAAAAGTGTGCTCAGACTTCGCACAAATCCCTCCTTCTCCATTCGCACACTATTCCCAACTTCATTGCTCTGAAAATAAACATAATTCTCCATTGATCTTTGAATAATTAACCATTAAATGTTTTGGAATCATCAGGTAATGTTGTACCTGTACAAGTTGGATATCAATAACTTTGTTTCTTTTGAGATCCATCATGGTGTAGCTGCCATATTTGGCTGAGTGTCCTTCAAGAAATGCAAGTTATTACTTAATTTACATTTGATAGCAAAGGAATAAAATAAATAAATTTAAACGTATTCACCAGGTGAATCAGCTCGCATGTCACCACCAAGAGTCACAGGTCCAGATTCAGTAGCCTCCTGGATGATATCAGCTTGCTCTAGCTGCCACTGCCAGCTCACTGTTGGAATTAAGAGCTTTGCCTGATGCCGACAGAATGACTGCTTGGACAGTCCCTGCACATTGAAGGCACCCAGGAACTAAAATATGAAAAGTTACGACATGAAATGAGAGACGCACAGACCTTATCAAAACTAACCTAAACAGTTTTGGCCTATACCTTAGAAATCTGGCTAAATGATGAGCCTGTGAAAAGGACAGCAGCACAGAGCTGGAGGTTTCCTGCTGGGATGCTGTTCACCATGGGCTGACTGGACCATTCATTGTAGTGCTCACAGGATGAACACCGTTGTGTCACACGGAGCAGTGTGCCGACTGTTGTCGTGTTCACAACACAACGACCGGTACAAACGGGACACCTTGGGGTGTGGACGCAGCTCTGGGACTTTGTGGAAGATGAATTTCCGTCACGGTACCTGTGTCACAAGACACACTGCGGCTGGGAGCTCTAAACTGGGTGGCTATGTAAAATACAAAGAAGCAGCACATTTATAAATGTTTAAAATAGCATAAAATCACGTGTAACAATAATCTGTAAAACAAATTAAAACTAGAAGGTAATAATAAAATGTTTACATAGAAGATTATTAAAAATAATTCACCTTTGCTACGTCGATAAGGCTTTACATGAGCCTGGACAAGTGCATTTTTGCAGATTACTAAATCAGTCTGACAGCCAACGTCTTGGGTAGATTTAGCCTGAAACAAAAAATAGAAGCACATTGTTGTTGGAGTTTATAAAGTCATATAATATACAAAAGAAACTGTCCAATATATATATATATATATATATATATATATAGGCGCTTTATAACATTCCTAGTGTGTGATCGTTATTATAATGTCAAAGTCAGTCACATATGATGTGAAGAACCTGAAATGCGACCTCCTGAACAGAATTCCTCACAGAACCGGGTTAGGCTTTGGTGTAAAGCTGGATTTCACGCTGTAATGATGTCTGTCAACTAGTGCTGCGTTAGAGCCACTGTTGCTGAATTACCGACTGACACAAAAACAACCCGAATTTTCTCCGAGCCTGACAGAAATAGTCAAGTGGACCTTTTTTGTCGGCCAGGGCTTTGAGAAATGTTCCGATTCGCCGCTGATTCTAACCTTACATCCCGTTCCACATTTTGTGAACTTGACAAATTAGCCCGAAGGCAGTGCAGACTGATATTAGCTAAATGGAGTGAACCACGTCTCTCAAACTTTGCATTTAGGTAGGAAATTGTCTTTAGAAGATGCTAACTTTTATTTAGCTTACTCACCTCAGACTGGAGCCCGCCATGGTGTTGGAGCAGAGTCGGTGGGCTGCATCTAATTCGTGGAAGAGCCACGGTGGGCACGGCCTCCCTCTTCAAACGGAGACGTGCAGAATAACCCAGTTCAAACTCCATCATGTTGGCGAAGGAATCGCGGGTAAAATGCTGGTTGCAGACTACAGCACCAGGCGGGAGCTGACTGTTTTCCAGTACACCGATTGCGCGCAACCACTGGCGCCTAATTTCTAAGTCCAGTGGAAAGGAGTGCAACCCCACAGAGCCACCACAACCAACTACACTATACCTTTTAACCATACTAACACGATATGGAACACTAAACCTGAATTACTTTCCTAATAAAACTAACAGCTAAACACTAACTAAACTACAATATCTAACAGCCAAGCTAACACTAAATAAGTATGTATAACACTAAAAGCTATGCTAAAGACTAGAATATGCTAATGATATATGCTAACGATATGTAACACTAAACCTGAATTACTTTCCTAATAAAACTAACAGCTAAACACTAACTAAACTACAATATCTAACAGCCAAGCTAACACTAAATAAGTATGTATAACACTAAAAGCTATGCTAAAGACTAGAATATGCTAATGATATATGCTAATGCTGAACTACCGCTAACCGTCCTACACTCGCTTGCAAATCCAACTCCCAACTCGCCACAGGGCGTGGCCGAGACTCTCGTTGCTTTATAACTTTGGCACAAGAGCTGCTACGTAGTACTCTACTGGTTTACGTAGTATCTTACTCTTTAGCCATTGGCTAAAATTTATTCAAAATGTGTCAAATTCTGTGTTTTAAGCTGAAGGTGGCGCATTACTGTGGTTTTTAGGCTGAAAAATTAATTTTTAAAGAAAATGCACCAAAATGCTAAAATAATGAATACACACATTTAAAACACTATTAGACACTCATTTATACAGTTCATCAGCAAAAAAAAGTTAATTTAGACGTTACTTGCTCTTTAATTGTGCACCATAACCATTTTATAATTTCCTGATAACAAATCTTTAATTTTAGGATATAAAGACAAATCATTATGCCGAGACAACAGAACTGTCAATTCATTATGTCAAGAAAATCACATAAAACAATGTATTAGCAGGCATAGCCGTGCACGAAGTCCATACGTTTTCATGAACATGGTAAATGAATTGTGTTTTCATAAACAGTTCAGATTTGTAATTGTATCTAAATAGAAACATGAGTGCTTAGAGCGACTGCTGCTCAGTGGGTGAACTTAGTTTATTCAACAACGGACAAGCCATCAGAAGCAGCAGGAATTTTCTCTCTGTTATTAGTGACTGCGTGTTTGATTCAATTCATTAAGTAAAAATCTCGGCTTGCATGTTTCACAGTGGCTTCTAGACGTCATGCGCAGACGGAGCCAATGGCGTGGGGTGGTGTTTTACGTTGACTTGCTATGAAACAGTTGAATGAATTAATGATTACAACGTACAACCATTTTGCTTTTTTTTTTTTTTAGCTAAAACAGCAGTGAGGGTTTCGTTGGCGGGACTAACAGTGACAGTGACAGACAGCAGAGGCGAGGAGGGCGACAGGCAACTAAAACAGAGCAGCCCCCAAAGACCAGGTGGAGAAACATAAGTGACTCAGAAAGGCTGACAAAGATGACTTGCTTGGCTCTGTTACTCTTTAGGGAGGTAAGACGATGTAGCCAACTGCCACACGGAATTATAAGGCTCTTTCATTGGTGTGGGTTTGTCCATTTAAACACATGGTATGTTTTTCCTGGTTGGATTTTATTAATCATATTTTGCCTTAAGGTAAAATAATCTGATGGTATTACCACGCTCACTCTATCAAGCCTTTTAAAACAGAAATCTAACTTTACATTCCGATATCAAAACTGGAGGATTTAAAATACTACAAATGCTTTTAACTTCAGATGACCAAGGTTGGGTTTCACATTGGTACAAAATCAGGAATCTGTTTTATTATTGGCTTTCTGGTTCAGACTGAATCTATGTTTTAAATGTTTTGCAAAACATCTTGAATGGCCTTTAAACTCTCATACACATTGCTGCACTTTTAGTATGCATGTTTCTACAGACCCAAACTTTAAGTGTTAGTAAATTAATGGGCTTAATTTCATTGTAATTTTTCATTTAATAATCTTAAAAGACTTTCTGAGGAGGCCATCTACACCAGCTGGTGCAACATCAGATCATAATGGCCGTTTCTCAGTATGGGTACTCATCTAAATTTGTGTACTTTTGTAATGTCATCAAGTACTTTTCTAATCTCATGGCAAGTTCACTCAAAGTTCCTGGGTGTGTTTTTGTTCTGCCGACTGTATTGAGGACGGGTTGGCACATCCTGCTGCAGACATGGGCTGGTAAGGTATCCCATAATGCATAGTGCCACAAACTGTTACACCTTGAATGGAAATGGCAGAGGAGAAAGTTAATAACTGCATGGTTTTTATATTAAAAATACAACTAATTGAGTGTAAATAAATGGTAAGCTTTAGTTTTTATGCATTTTTATGTTGTGTATTGTTTAACGTTTACATTTCTGCGAAGCACCTTAGTCAGTTTTATACAGCTGCAAGGTGCTATACAAATAAAGCTGCCTTGCCTTGCCCAAATTAAGAAATATGACGTTTTCTGTTATTGTAGATAATTGTGGACAACCTGTAAAGTTAGCTATTTGTGTTTGTTCTTTCGGACACTTCAAGATACCACAAAATGCTAATTAGCTGACCCACTATCAAAATATTTATTTCAGGTCATTGTTTTAACCGTAGCATTACACAACACTCATTGCCATTACATAACGGAGTACAGTTCTGTTCAAAATGCCGCCTCCGTCCACCAGTAGTTGGGAAAATGGACTTTCTGCTGTGTTTGAGTAGTTGGGTGTTGAGAAATGGCCAATGACACACCCCAGCCATTCGACCGATTCACCTGCTTTCCTTCAGGCAGATGGTTGACTGTTATTTTAACCCCAGTGTTTATAAACCGTACCTACAGTAAGTCATTGTGACACAAGCTATAACATATGGTCAAACAACCCAACTTGGACTCACACAAATGAAAATACTTTGGCAACAGGATCGTCTTCTTCAGTCGTTGTCCAGGTTAAGTTGACCTTGATACAAAATAAATCATGAACACACTGACATGTCTGAATGAACACGAGACATTTGGTCTCAAGTGCATTCAGTTCCTGGAAAGAGAGCGTGCATTTTGACACAACCCAGGGGTTTTCATGAGCAACAGTGCTGCATTTTACAGAACAGTGCCTTTTCAAGTATGTTACGTCCTTTTTAGACCGCTAAAGCGAACCTGTAGGTCCAACTCCATTTTATAACCAAACTCAACATAGAAGGCTTCTGGTTTTAGAGGGAGAGAGTTTATGTTTGGTCGGATAACTCTTCACTACAGGGGCTTACATAAAGTGACACTCTTTCTTAAAGACAGATGCGCAGACATCACCTCATTTGTTTCACCAGATTTTCTGTTTCTTCTCTCTACTGCTGTGATTTCTAGAAAGTTGGCCTATAAATAATTTACAGTCAAACTGTTTAAAATTGCATTTCAGGGACCTTTTGTTTAGTTAGAAGTTATGGTTGATTTCCCAAAATAATTCCTTCCTTTTTCACCCAACATTAAAGCAGCGATCTAGAGTTTCACTCCTTTCAGGAGTTGTGCACGATATTTCAGGAATTCGGGAAAGTGATGGTCTTGACCTGTACTGTTATGCAATGTAGGAAATATGCCTCCACGACCCCCCCCCCCCCCCCCATCCCATAGAGAGCAATGCAATTTCACTTGAGTGCCGCTCAGCATTAGCCAATAGCGTCAGGCATTTGCTTATGTACAGACCAATCACAGAGCGAGCACAAGCTTTTCAGAACGTACCTAAACTGATGCAGAGTTGTTGACTTTTCTTACGGACGAGCCTTAAAAACATGGTGTTGCTTCCAGCCGCAGTCACAGAAGTAGAGAGGCTTCCAGT